ACTCTTTTTGATGGAAAGATTTTTGTCTTTTAATAATAGCATTCATGAGGCACCTGGGTGGCTCAGTTGGTTAAGCATCCGACTTCGGCTTAGGTCATAATCTTGCGGTCTGTGAGTTCAGCCTGAAGTCAGGTTCTGTGCTGACAGCTCAGAGCTTGGAGCCTGTTTCAGATTCTGTGTTTCCCTCTCTCTCTGCCCCTCCCCTGCTCATGCTCTGTCTCTCTCAAGAATAAATAAATATTAAAAATTTAAAAAAATAGCATTCATTAGCTTTTCTGATTATAAAAATATTAACTCTATGTTATAGGAAGAAAACCAAAAAGATATATAAAATAGAGTTAAAATATAATGCTATTATCCAGATAAATCATGGCTAACATCTGGTATACTTTCTTCATTAAATTCTTGTTAAAAATTTGAAGCACACTAGGGGCACCTGGGTGGCTCAGTTGGTTGAGCGTGTCACAGTTTCATGGGTTCGAGCCCTGCATTGGGCTCTGTGTTAGCAGGGCAGAGCCTGCTTGGGGTTTTCTCTCTCCCCTATCTCTGTCCACCCCTCCACCCCCTGCTCACACTGTCTCTGTCTCTCTCAAAAATAAATAAAAATAAACTTAAAAAAAAAAACTAGAAGCACACAGACTAGTATTTTGACTTACTTCCACTTAATGTTATATCATAATCTGAGTATTTCACATTTGCCAAATCTTATGAAATTGAACTTTTAATACTTTTATTATATTATGTCACTATTTTCCTTTTTTTTTTTTAACATTTATTTATTTTTTGAGAGAGAGAAAGACAAACAGACTGTGAGTGGGGAGGGGCAGAGAGAGGAAACATAGAATCTGAAGCAGGCTCCAGGTTCTGAACTGTCAGCACAGAGCCCCATGCGGGTTCGAACTCAGAAACTGTGATATCATGATCTAAGCCAAAGTTGGATGCTCAACTAAGTGAGTCTCCCAATATCACCATTTTGTTTATTTAATCAATCATTCCCTTATATTTGTGGTGAAAAGCAATATTTTTCTTAACTCAGATGTTACTCTTAAAATAGATAGTTTTTTAAGTGTGGTAGCTAACAATAACAATAATAGTAATAATTAGTACAAAGACAATGGAAAAACAAGAAATGGACTCGAATATGAAAGACTTTGAATAAAAAGAGGAATTTTAAATTAATGGGGAAGAATAGGATTATCCTCAAATTACATTGTATCAGTTGTTCAGGTCAGAGGTTCTCAGACCTTCTCCTGAAGCATCTCTACAGATGCTTCAGGGAGAATGAACGTGACTTTCCTCTTTCAAATCTGGATGTGAGGGCAGAGGAGCCCAAAGTAGTCTGGTGAAAGTGTAGACAATCTCATGTTTACTTTAAAATTTGTGGGTAATCATTCTTATTTTACTGCATTATGTATCCATATTAATTTTAGAGCTTATTAATTGTAAATCATTTACCAGTTTACCAATTCTCCAATTTTTCAGTAATATTAGTGCTCCCAGATGATGCATTATATTTGCTACATGTTTTGGCTGGAGGGCAAGAGTCCTCTAATTTGAGAAGCACAAAGTTGACTATTTGAAAACAAAAGTGTTGCAAAATCACTAGGCAATGAGTAAATATTGGATAAACAAATAAATGAAGTACCTCACATGATGAAATAAATTCCAGAGATATTAAAAAATTAAATCACAGTTATTAGTAAAAAATACAAATGCACTTGTTAATCAAGAAGCTAAAGGGAGAAGAATTCTCTAAACTGAAGAACAAGGGAAGAAATCAAGGGAAAAAACAGATTTGATTACATAAATATTAAAAGCTAATTTATTATATGAAAAACATGACAAATTACATTAAAACCACAGCTCACTGTGACTTTGCTGCTAATGTGACAATGGATTAATAATTTCTCTGAATAACTTTTATACGTGTAAGAAGGAAAACACTGAGATCGAAATAAGTAAAGATTCAGCAGGTATGCTGAAGGAGCTTACACAGGAAAAAAATACCATGGCTCACAAACACATGGAAAATGTTTAAGCTCACTGGTATTCATACAAATGTAAACAAATAACCTAAAAAAAAACCATTACGGAGTTGTAGGAATAATTTAATAGCGATTTAAATAACAGAGAGTTTGAATAGGATGTTGTGAAATAAACAGACTAGTGTGATAGTAACTTTGTAAGCTATTTTGGAAAGTAATTAAAAAACATGACTTCCTGGTCGAAAAACAGATTAATTTCCTTATAATTTTTTTCTTAGAAAATTTGTCTTCAGGAAAACCCTCCATGCATATGAAAATAATTATTTACAAAAATATTTGGGAAATTATTTATAGTTCCCCAAAATTGAAACCCAAAATGCCTAATCTTAAAGAGATGGGATTAATCACCCAAATAGAATATTAGATAGCGAATAAATGGTATTTATAAAAAGAATCTAAAATGGTTATTTAAAAGTGATCACTGAAAAGACTCAAGATACTAACTGGTGTTATTGCTACTTAATATTGCTACTTAGTGAAAATCTGAACAGCACAAAGATTAGAAAGTAAGACACCACAATATTGATAATGTATATCCTTGCTTAATGGCATAAGTAGTGATTCTTCTCTTTTCAATCTCTTTTCCACATTTTCAAAGTATAAGACTTATTTGATTTAAGGTATCTCTAATCCATCATTTCCCGCAAATTCTCTAAAATTCCTCCCAGCTCTGAAATGCAGTGAACCCTGGTTAAGTCACTCTTCCTCACAGTGAGAAGGCTAATTGTGTAGCCTGCATTGTATTCATTCTCTTAAAAACATTTTTTTAATGTTTACTTCTTTTTAGGTAGGGTGAGGGGTGGGGGGCAGAGAGAGAGGGAGACAGAATCTGAAGCAGGCTCCAGGCTCTGAGCTGTCAGCACAGAGCCAGACACGGGACTTGAACTCATGAACCAAGAGATCATAACCTGAGCTGATGTCAAATGCTTAAGGGACTGAGTCACCCAGGCGTCCCTGTGTTCCTTCTCTTAAAGTAAGAGTTCATATTTACTGAATTCTCACCGTGCGTGATGTATGTACAACGCGTTTTATGGATGTCAGCCCATCTATGTCTCCTCATAACGACTCGATCATATTCCTGTTTCACAGACAAAGAAATTGGCACTTGAAGACGTTAAGTAGCTTGCTCAAGCTCAGTCAGAGAGTAAATGCAAGAGTAGGTGTCAAAGCCCAGACAGTTTGAGTCTGGAATATACTCCACAATGCCTATCGACTTCACTCTCTAAATTACTCTTGAGGACAAGCAGCCAGGTCAAATGTATAGAATTTTCATAATATTACTAACTTGCTGAAAACCCTCAATAGGTTTTTTGCTAATAAATAACCTGCAAATTCAAGCATTGAAAATCTTCTGCCTTCTAGGCCCAAATCCTCCTTCCAGCTTTATTTCTCAGCATCCCCTACCCCATTCTCTTCTATCTTCTTTCCATGCATTCATTTGCCCATCTGTCCATCCATTTATCCATCCATCATTTAGGCCACAGAATGGCCTAAATGCATCTGAGGAAGTGACTACAATACAACCACCTTAGCATTAGCAACGTAGAAAAGAAAGAAATTCTGATATATGCAATCAGAAGACTGTTGTATTTAAAAAAAGAAACCACAAAAAACAATTTACCTTTCAGAGAACATGGATCTGCATGAACTCCCTGATTTGAGTTCCTCCTGGATTTAAAGTGAGTATTTACTTACATTAGTCCAACAAGATCAAGAAGAAAACCTTTTGAAGTTAAAGCAATAATTTTCCTGCTTGTGGGGAGGCCAGTCAGGATGAAGAGAGGAAGTTCATTCCCTGGATCTGAGAAAGTTCCTGAGAATTCAGTCATGCATTGTCTGTGCCTTACATTATCTACAGCTGGTGGCAGCCTCTAAGAACTGTTGTGGGAACATCAGAATAGTCTGATGGGGCAGTGGAATGGACACGTTGGGAAACGTGGTCATTTGTCCTGTCTCAGACCTTGATACTGCAAACTCCCTTTTCTGGACTGAGACTCAACCAGCATTCTTCTAGACTTGTTCCTTAAAGTGTGAGCTGAGAACCCATGGCATTGACATTGCCAGGACGCTTGTTCGAAATATAGACTATCCAGTTCCACCAGAGATCTAATGGTAGGGGCCCTGAGCTGGCTTCCCCAAGATAGTTCACTTTGGCACAAAGATTATTTCGAGTTAAAAAGGCAATCAAAACCCAGCAGATTCAGGAAAAGCTTTTTACCTCCTCCCTACCCAACAATTGCTTTAAAAGAATTTAGATAGAGCACCTGCTCCAGGAAGAGAACTTTCGCCATAACTATATTATACCGTGAACTAAGTGTGGTAGATGGGGAGAAACTTAACCAAGCCTGTTTGTCAAAGTCCTCTATGTCCACTGTGGCTCAACTTGCTTACCAAATATTTACTTTTTCATCTTCCTGTGAGTTGCTTTCCCTCCCTTTGAAGTTCCGGACCCCTACCTCCTTCTCCTTAGTTCAGAATGACATATATGCCTCATTTTGCCTATCTTTGGAATTTCCATGTCTGTATGGATTCCCCTTAAGTACGGAATCAAATTTAATTCTCTCCTGTTAATTTGTTTCATCACCATTTGATTCCTAGTCTGACTAAAAGGATCTTGAAGGGAACAAGATATTCTTAGTCCCCTACATAATGAAAAAGAATCTGTATTTTAGCAAGATCCCTAGGTAATTGGTATGCACGTGAGAAGCACTGGTCTGGAGAATATTTTATTATTGTCAAAAAGCTTCTGAACACAAGATGGCGGTGTTTCCTATCTATTGGTATCCTTTCACAGATTGGAAACAAGTTTGCTTTAAAATTGGATTAGACCAGTGTGTGTCGGGAGAGGGTGAAGAAGCTTGTCGCTGATTGGGTAGGAAGCAGAGACTTCCTCCCAGAGAAGAACCTCAGGAACACCCACCAAACTAAAGAGAATGGCTTTTTGATTGAGGAGACTGAGTCCACCTGTCAGGCTACCGTTGGGAAGAAGATGGAGTTGTTCCTGGGAGTTATTTTGGTGATTTTGTGGCTTCCAGTGGACTGTAAGTTGAAGGCCTTCTGGTGACGAGAACAAAGAGATCTAGGGGCCCAGGCCACAGGCTGGAGGGGGAAGAGCTAGGATCCGTTCTGCTTCATCTTTGGTTATATCTGGGGTTGCCGAAAGAAAATATGATTCTTAAGAGTGTCATGTAGTGACTCTTGTTTCTGGTATTGTGTCTCTGCCCAGGGGTAAGCAGCCAGAAGATGGAACAGAGTCCTCAGTCCCTGAACATCCAGGAGGGTGAGAAGGCTGTTCTGACCTGTAACTGCACACAGTTTTCTCCAGTGGTCTTCCAGTGGTACCGACAAGATCCGGGAAGAGGCCTTGTCTTCTTGCTACTAATCCGTGAAAATGAGGGTAAAAAACAAATAGGAAGACTGACGGCTACCTTTGATAAGACCATCAAACAGAGTTCCTTTTACATAACAGAACCTCAGCCTGCAGACTCAGCCACCTACCTCTGTGCTGCAGACACACAGTAGGGTCCCGCCACCTGCTTCCTGTGCCCAAACTCTGCTAAAAAACTTACAGTCAACAAAGCTGCTGGCTGCGCTGACCCCAAGGGTTTCATATGCTGCTGGCAGATTCAACAGAAGCACTTGAGCTGAGGAAAGGGTGTGAGAAAAAGCACTGGACTGACCCAAAGGGAGCCGGGGATTCATCTCACAGCCTCAGCACCGCACATACTACCGAGTGACTTTAGTGAGACTTACAGGTCTCAGTTTCCTCATCGGAACACAGAGGGCTTAACCTGTGATTCTCAGCTCTGAAATTCAGAGTCCAAGTTTTCAGGAAAAATGAATATGCCCTGAAGAGTGCCAGAGAGCAAGAAAAGAGGATTTGGATGTATGTATTTGCACGTGTGGGTGCGTAAGAGTTTAAGGGCAATGAATTCTGCCCAATCTTTGTGACTAGCCCAGAACAGCATGAGGCCTATACAGGGTTAAACACATTCCTTTTAAACATAGAATGTAAATTCCTCTACATAAAGAACAAAAACAAAAACACCCCAATCTAAACATTACTAAGAACCTTCTAAACAGAACTCCAAATAATGATAATGATGATGGCAAGGATAAAAAAAATTGACCTGTGTTAAAAAACATAGTTGAGCCAAGTGAAATCGAAGATCTAATTGGCTTTATTAAATGATTCATGAATCCAGAGAAGCATTCCAACCAGCACGCAGAGAATGCTCCACAGAAAATAAAGGCTTTTATTTTAATGTTTATTTATTTTTGAGAGAGAGACAGACTACGAGAGGGGAAGGGACAGAGAAAAGAGGAAGACACAGAATCTGAAGCAGGCTACAGGTTCTGAGCAGTCAGCACAGAGCCCAAAGCCGGGCCTCAAACCCACGAACCTTGAGATTATGACCTGAGCCGAAGTCTGCAGCTTAACAGACTGAGTCACCCAGGAGCCCCAGGAAAGGAGAAGTTTTTAGAGGCAGAGAGAAGGCTTTAAAAAAAGAGAGAGAATTTATTAGCAAGGAATGTAATGTTTAGGTAAGGTCGCTCTCCTAAGGGGGAAGGGGCTTTTCAGGAGATTGCCTGAAATTCTGGTTTGGCTGGTTAAAGGTACCTTCCTGAGGGCGTTGAAACTGCTGGTAGGTTAGTTATTAAATCTTGGTTTACTGATTTAGGGCCTTAAGTGGCTCCATTGTGGTCATGCAGTTTTCTTTTCAATGCCTATATTGTTTTTCATTTTGTGAATGGAGACCATACAATATTGGGCAATATGCCGTAAGTCATGAGTATCATAAAGATACACTTAGAACTATGTGTGGTAACAGTGAGTGTTTATGCATAACTTTTTTTATATAAAGGATTTTTTAAGTGTTTATTTATTTTTAGTTTTGAGAGACAGAGTGAGTTAGGGAAGGGCAGAGAGAGAGGGAGACAGAGAATCCTAAGCAGGCTTTGCACTGTCAGCACAGAACCCGATGCAAGGCTTGAACCCACAACAGTGAGATCATGACCTAAGGCAAAATCAAGTCGGATACTTAACTAACTGAGCCACCCAGGCACCCCTATGTATAACTTTTTAATAGAAGTAACTTGCATCTTATTATGCTGAACATGGGTGGTACTGAGTTGAGGACTTCTCAATTTTTTTTTTTAAGCCTGCACTGCCATTTCTATTGAAAGGGAGCAGAATAAAGCTCTAGAAAGTTTTATCAATAGAGAAAGTAGCAACTTATTTTTAAGTTTACTTATTTTGAGAAACAGAAAAAGAGAGAGAGAGAGGGGGAGAGAGCACGAGTGGGGGAGGGATAGAGACAGAGAGAGAAAGAATCCCAAACAAGCTCCGTGCTGTCAGCACAGAACGATTCGGGTTTGAACTCATGAACTGTGAGATCATAACTGAACTGAAATCAAGAGTCGGATGCTTAACCGACTGAGCCCTTCAGGCAGCCCAAGAAGGTAGCACCTTAAATATGCACAACCACCATACCCTTGTTTACTGTGCTTCGGCTGAAAACATTTCCATAATTGGTGCTTCCCTCACCCCCCAACATCTTCCTTTGGTCTTCAGCTGAAGATGGTATTTTAGGTGATGGTTTGGGCCTTTTCTGGGAGTTCTCAGTTTTCCTGGGTCTCTCTCATGAATACAGGAAATGTACATACCATCGAGCTTCTGTTTGTTTTTCTTCTGCTGATCTGTCTTTTGTTATGGGGTAGGGGGAAGAGGAGAACCTAGAAGACTAGAAGGAAACTTATTTTTCCTTCCCCTTCACCCCGTTATCAATCTGTCATCCATATATTACCTTCTTGATTCAATTTCAGTTTATTAATTAGCAAAAGGACAGAATCCAGATGTCATGGCATATTCAGTTACTAATATTAAATAAAAAAATTCGACCAAGTAACTTTGAAGATCAAGTTGGCTTTATGAAGTGATTCCTGAATATGGCAGCATTGCATCTAGGAGGTAAAGGAGAGTTCCCAGGAATTGTATACAATGGAATGTTTTAATAGGAAGGAGCGTAGGAGCAGAAAGTTATTAGCATAAGAAAAGAAAGGATAGTTTCAGGCAAAATCACCTACTCTTGGGGGGCAGCGGTCTTATGCAGATTACCTCATCTTTCTTGGGGGAGGGGTGGGAATAAGGAGGGCACATGTGACAGATTATCTCATTGGTGCTGACCAGAAAATTCCAGATTGATTGGCTTAAAATTCCACCCGTGGAGAGGTTGAAACTGCAATTAAGTCTTAAGTTTTCTGTCCTGCATGCAACTGCACCTTGGGCCTGTCACTCTTTTTAATACTAATGATGGCAAAATTGTGGGTTTTTTGGTCTGACTCTGGGGATATGGTTGATATTTCATACCTGGAACCACATGAAATATTGCTACAATGGTACGTATCATTACGTTGTTTGCGTGTGAGTGTAGGGAAGAGATACTAAAAGAATAGAGGAAGAACATGATAAATGAGAAAAGTAAAATTTGAGAGATAGAATATGCATTAGCAGTCATATAGTCCAAATCCTTAATTTTAATCACAATCAATATAATAGAAAAAACTAGGAACATTAAGAAGCTAGGAAATAATTGGCTCCGAGTGCTGGCATCTGGGATTTTTTAAAAAGAAGAGGCCTAATGCAGGATTGTTAACCATGGTGAGACTTGAAGATTCATAAGCCTCCTGGAATTGAACATAGGTGTTGTGTTATTTGGGAGGAATCTTCATTGAATTTTTATAAAATTTTTAAAATAGTTTTTATTTATTTTTGAGACAGAGAGACACAGAGCATGAGCAGGGGAGGGGCAGAGAGAGAGGGTGACACAGAATCTAAAATAGGCTCCAGGCTCTGAGCTGCCTGCACAGAACCCAATGTGGGGCTCAAACCCATGGACCATGAGATCATGACCTGAGCCAAAGTTGGACTCTTAACCGACTGAGCCACTCAGGCGCCCCTTCACTGCATCTTTAAAAAGTGTCAGTGAGACACAAAAGATTCAGATAATTTGCCTCAGAGTAGGAGTCTTGTCAGGAAAGGAGGCAGAAAAGAGGTTGCGGAATCAGCCAGCAGCTCAGGAAGGGATGGAGAGAGAACTAAGATATTATTGAATGTAAAAGAATTACATGAGAATTGAGTAAATAGCTTTCTTCCACGAGGAACTGGCATACTTTCCAGTTTGTAATACATGGAAGGTTAAGCAACAATTGGCAGTACAGTATTTTAAAAAGATGGGAACGGGAGTCTAACACATCACTGTTCAAATCCTAATGGACCAGCTATGTAGTCTTGGGCAAGTATCTCGAGCTCTCTGAGTACCAATTTCCTCATCTGCAAAAGGTTAGTAATTAGAAGGACCTCGTAAGATTATTGCTAGGATTTAGCAAAATTCCAAAAATAAACATACAGACATATATTAAGGCCCTGATTTATTGTTTAAGTTATGTTCCAATTAACTCCAATAGTAGCAAGTGCACTAGTATATTAGGTATTCAACAGATACTCATTTTTATGATTGTTTTTCTCATCTCCTCCAGGAAGTCCAGACTTAAATTTTCTGTGATGGGTGTTAAATTTACCCTTTCATATTTCTTTTTGTTAATGCTATTGCAAATCACCTCAAAATCTATTTAAAATAAGCCAGTATGTAAATCTGTATTTCATGACCTAGAATCTTTAATAAATATTACTGAGTACATGCTATGTCCCATGTGTATACAATATAGATATCTATACACAATAAAGATTCACCAGTGAATAAATCAGGTAAAAATTTCTGCCCTAGTGGACTTGACATTCTATCAAGGCAGACAGATAATTTAAAAAAAATGATAAATAATAAATCACATAGTATATTAGAAGACACTAAGTGCCATGGTAAAAATAATGCAGGGTATTGTAAATTGGCAACACTGAGCTGGGGTTGACTCCAGTTGTAATTTTAAACATGAAGAAGGGACCACTGTTGTCCTCACTGAATGAATAAATGAAGGAAGTGAGGAAGGAAGCCACACAGTCATTCATGAGAGCAGTTCAGGCAGATGGAAGAGTCCTTGAGGCAGGAGCTGTCCCAGGTACAGCTGTCCCAGTGGGAGAGGTGTAAGAGGTTGGATCGCAAAAGTAGCAAGGGCCAGTCTAGGTAGGGCCTACCTCAGAAAGTAGGGCCTTCTAATCCTGAAGCCGAGATGACCCTGTATGTTAACTAACTGGCACATTAAAAAATAATAATTAAAAACAAATAAATAAATAAAGTTTTATTGGAACACACACACACACACACACACATGCACAAAGAAGATATTCTGGACCGTTTGAATGGCTGTGGTGTACCAGGGAACCGTCATGCAATTTCGATACCCTAATGTGGGTATAATTGTGTGATGTCAACTGAGGGCCAAATATTATCAGATGGTTTCGCAGTAGTAAGAACAGAGAAAAATGGTAGGTATGTTCTATGATAGTACAGGCAAGCCACATTCAGAAAAAAATCAAGTGGTTGTAGCTCTAATGGTTATAAGCA